ACTCGTTTTACAAATGCTTCCAGGGACGGTGACCCCAGCACTGGCCCTGGGCCAGGGCCTCAGCACCCCTAACAAAATACTGAATGCAGGGGAGAAGAGCTGCTGCTGCAGTTATCAAAGGAGCTCCTGCATTTTATGGGTTCCTTTTATCTCTTCAAGCTTAATGTTGGCTTAATGCAGTTGATGCCTATCATTTAGAAACCCAGTTTATATCCTCTTTCATAATTATACTTCTCAGTGTTTGGTAATGCTCTTTATACCTTATTTAATCTTTTTGTTTTGTCAGATGGCTGTAACAGTAAGTCCATAAAAGCAAGATGAGACCAGACCTTTTGTCATTTGGTTGCACTTTGACATATTAATTTCTTAATGTACAGGAAAATAAAAGAACTGTTTGTGGACAGCAGTAAGAAATTTGTTTTGATCTTTGATTTTAAAATAAAATGATCTGTCTCACAGCAGTGGTGTAACCTTTTGCCGTAGATTTGGCAGTAGAGTGTTGCTGCTAATGCAAAGGTAATAGTGTTTTCTTGAATAACTAGACCCCAAAATACAGTAGTAAAAAATGGCCAGGATATTTCTCTAACCGTAGAGACCATGTTTTATGGGAGGGGGTGTTTGTTTTCACTGCAGGGATGAGCCCTGTATAGCAAATGTTCTTCTGTGTACCAGAAAATGCTGCTCAGTGTAATGTTTTAATTCCCTAAATAATTTCCTTCTGGTACCGACTGCAGGGTCCTGCATGCCCTGAAGTCTGTGGTGAGGCACAAGAGCAGGGAGATGTGCACTCACCACTGCTGCTGCTGGCAATGAAATGAAATGAAAGCAGAGGCATTCCCAGCTCCTGGGATGCAGGGAATGGCCGTGGCTCCCAGTGAGGCAGGGGGCTTTGGGGGATCCTGGTGGGGCTGGCACCGAGCCATTCCCTGGTTACTGACGCCCGAGTTCATGGGGATGGGTTAGAGGTGGGGATGGAGGGTGGCACCGCCTCATTTGGGGGGATTAGTGCTGCTGGAGCGGCCAGAGCTGCCTGGCAGCACTGGGCTCCGTGGGCAGGTGGGACCCACAGTGTCTGCCTGGCATCCTGGGGCTTGGGGACAACCTGGGGCTCGGGGGCATCCTGGGGCTCAGGGACATCCTGGGGTTCAGAGACATCCCAGGGCTCAGGGACATCCCAGGGCTTGGGGACATCCTGGGGCTCAGGGACATCCCAGGGCTCAGGGACATCCCAGGGCTTGGGGACATCCTGGGGCTCAGGGACATCCCAGGGCTTGGGGACATCCTGGGGCTCAGGGACATCCTGGGGCTCGGGGACATCCTGGGGTTCAGAGACATCCCAGGGCTCAGGGACATCCCAGGGCTTGGGGACATCCTGGGGCTCAGGGACGTCCCGGGGCTCGGGGACATCCTGGGGCTTGGGGACATCCTGGGCCTTGGGGACATCCCAGGGCTCAGGGACATCCTGGGGCTTGGGGACATCCCAGGGCTCAGGGACATCCTGGGGCTCAGGGACATCCTGGGGATCAGGGACATCCTGGGGCTCAGGGACATCCCAGGGATCAGAGACATCCCAGGGCTCAGGGACATCCCAGGGCTTGGGCACATCTTGGGGCTCCATGGCTCTCCTCCTGGCCTCAGAGGCCCACCACGTGCTGGGCAGTGTGGCCACCTGAGAAGGTCCAGCTGGCACAGACGGGTTTGCATCTGGTTTATCCTTGGGTGCAGAAGCAGCTCCTCCCCTAAGGAGAGGTTTGTGTTAGGAGTGATTCTCATGGCTGAACTAAATTAAAAATGCTATTTGAATTCAGGTCTGTGTTGCTTAAAGGGTTCTTTTGGGAGGAAAAAAAGTAGACTGGTCTTTCATTATTAAATCCCATTAAACTCCACGATGTCTGTTGGGATGATTTTAGACTGTCAAGTTTGCATAACTCTGGAAACAGAAGTGAGTGTAGTTTTTGAGGGTTTTTAATTTTAAATTAAAGCTTCAAATATCATAGAATCATGGAATGGTTTGGGTTGGAAAGGACCTTAAAGAGCACCCAGGTCCAAACCCCTGCCATGGGTAGGGACGCTTTCATTATACATTGCATAAGCATAATTTTTAATTTAAACTTCCAGATTAATTTTCTTTGATCTTGTAACATAAGTTACATCGTGTTCTAGTTTAACTTAATAATTTTCAGACTTTGAGCAAAAAATGCACAGCTAGTCCTTGTGTTAGAAGAATATCTTTTAATGGGAGTCATGTCTTGCTTCCTCAAATTTTAATCTATGTCTGCATTGAGGAGCTGCTTCATTGACTCTGTATTCCTGGTTTATCTACAGGATTCGATGTTTTTCTGGAACCAGCTTCCCTATTCCTTAGTGAGATCCTTCCTGAACTGCTCTTCTGGAGCTTTTTTCTGCCCTGCACTGCTCAATACCTTCCCTGATTCAGATGCTAATGTGTGGCGTCTGGCAGGGGACCGGCATTAGCATACTGAGAATAGATTAGAAAAAGACCTTTTGGATTTGCGTGCCTATATTTTATAAATAGCCTGAACGGGAGGATGGGGTGTTTTGTAAATGGTTTGCAGAGCTGAAATCCAGTGGGCCTGTGATTGCTGTGGCATTTCCATTACCCCAGTCCCTTCTTGAACGTGGAGCCTTTGTTATTAACACCTACACAGCAGGAATGATGCCATGAACTCTCTTACATGTTTACTATTCTTTAAATGTTTGAATTCTCATGGTATTTCCTTGGAATTGGGGAAGTGCAAGCAGCAAAGATGGTGCTCCCTGGAGCACTGGACCTACTGCAGGTGGGGTTTGGGAGGTGGAGGCTGTTGAGTGATTGGGCAGGAACTGAGTTTCTTCCACTTTATGAAGGAAAGTATTTTAAAATCTTCCCTATAACTGAAGTCTGCCTGAAGCATGAATGTGACAGCACCTATAACAATTCCAAACGTGATGTAGAAATGGTTAGGCAATTGAAATGGTGAAGAAAGAACTGGATTGCTTTTTATGGCTTTTACTTTCCTGCACACTTTTATGGGCTGCAGTTACCTGACTGTGGCCCGTTCTCTGCTTTTCTTATATTAAATAACTGGTTTCCTCCCTTGGTTATATTGAATAAATGGTTTTCTGCCTTCTGCTGGCTGTCCTCAATGGCATCTTCGTGAAATTGGGCTGGGAATTTTTGTCTGACAACTGAGCTGGTGCTAAAAGAGAGACTTATTTGAGTATCAGTTGTTTTTGTAAGACTTTCACCAGTCACTGCTAGCCTTAGGTGCAAAGAAGCAGATTTTCTGTGTTGAGTAGCTTGTTGCTAAACCTCTTATTGAGCTAAAGCCCTGCTGGAAGTGATCTCTCTATTAGTGAAATCAGAAGGTGTGTGTGGTGTGTGTGCCAGGCTGATGGAGCAGGGCGTGTTTGTGTATCCACACGCACAGGGAGGACCTCATTTCTGTGCCTGTCATGGTAGGAATCCAAGGCAAACCTGATTTAAACTCAGTTCCACAGGGAAAGGCTGGGTCTGCCAAGGAAAGGCATTCCTGTGTGGATGTACATAGGGAGTTTTAGAGATTCTTTTTGCTTCAGTTCATCTTTCTTCTCTCAGGTTCTGAGTTTTCCATCTCTCATGGTACAAAGGTTTGTCTTCCTGGTACTTTGTGTGTCTTCAGATAGATCCAAGTTAATGCTGCCCCAGCCAACATGTGGATATGGTCTGACATCTCCTTCTGGCTTGATTTATGTCACATTTGTGATTTATCTTAAAGCCCTTCCAAACTCACCTTCATTCAGCGTGTGCTGATCCAGGGGCTGCCATTATTTATGGACATAATAAAGGACACATTTATTGCACTCATGTGATGCTTTCAGAAGAGTTTGGTTCTGTTCAGCTCAACCTCAGTCCCCTCCTTCCTCCAAGAAAGAGAACTCAGGAAAAAGACTTCTTCTGATGGGGTTTATTCAGCTCCTGGCAAGTGAGGGAGATAGAGGAGTTATTCCAGCATCCAGGGCTGTTCATCCCTGCTTTGCCCAATGTTTAGATGCTGCTCTGAGTGCCTGTGAGTGTGTCAGAGCTGTTGGGAGCTGGGAGAATAAATAAATCCCAGCTCTGGCAGAGAGGAGTGGGAGTGTGGGTTAGTCTTAGCTGTGACACTGAGGAGCACTGGAGAGAGAAGTGCTGGAGAGAGGAAGGGTGATAAGAAATAAAGACAAACCCAGAGAGTTTATTTGGGAGCCAGCCAGAGTGTAAACAAATCACCCAGGGAGATGAATTTGGAGTGATACCAAGTGAGGAGCGGCTGTGAATGGATAAAACCAGAAGGTAATTTAAGAGCATGGATATATACTGAGATCAAGAGGAAATGTTATCTTGATCCTTGTGTTTGGAAGGCTGCAGGAGGGAGGGTGTGAGATGAAATGGAAGAAATGGGTTTATTTTAGTCAAAACACAGAGGAGGAAAGAAGCCTTATCATCCAGATGGGATGAGTGGATAAAAGGAGATCATCCCAGTGCGTGTTCAAAGGTTGGTGGCAGCATGGAGAGGGTGTGAATGTGTCTGTGTGGTTCTGTGAGCAGCTCTGCCAGTGTCACAGCATGAGGGACAAACTCCAGGGCTACCGAGCCCAAAAGACTGCGGGGTTTGAATGAGGATCTCACCAGTCCAAATACATGGAGTGCTGGGGTTTAAAATTACACCACTGTGTGTAGTAAGAGAAAAAAATGTAAATAAGATGAGCATGAAACAACTGTAAAACGTTTTCCTTCGACATAGATTAAAGTTTTCTTTGCCTCCTTTGTTGTGAGGGTGTTCTGACCTCTGAGCTGTTCCATTTTGCTCTGTGGAGAAGGAGCAGTGAGGAAGGAACAGCCTCCCAGCACTGCCCACTCTCTGTCATGCGAGGGTCAAGTCAGAACTGGTGTGTGCCTGGCAGAACAGGGCACCCGTTAGTCATGTCATCAGTGGATGAGGTGGTTGTTCAGTTGAATTTATTCTGCTCTGCCTCACAGTTGAAAGATGCATGAGTGTGATGCAGTCTGGGACGCAGATGGTGAAGCTCAAGAGTGGAACCAAGGGGCTGGTCCGGCTCTTCTACCTGGACGAGCACAGGAGCTGCATCCGATGGAGGCCCTCCCGGAAGAGCGAAAAGGCAAAAAGTAAACTCCTTGTAATTTCTAATTTCTGGGGCAGCTCAGTGTTAGAATGTGAATTGCAGGGGCTCATGGGCTGATGGGAGACACTTGGTGTCTGTCTCCCCTGCTCCCTTTCTGTAGCCTCAGCCCCGTGATGTTCCAGGGAGCGCTCAGAGCCTCTGGGGCAGCCAGCACGTGGCACAGCCATGGCAAGGAAACCTTCAGTCCAAGAGGGCTTTGGGATGTGAAGGTGTAAGATGAATAAAGTTTAGCACCTCTGAGCCTGAATAGCTCAGCATTGTGAGAAGCAGGAAGAGGCTGGCTGGCTGTCCCAGCGTGTCCTTTGGTTTCCCTTTTGCCCCAGTTGTCATCGACTCCATTTACAAAGTCAGCGAGGGCCGGCAGTCGGAGATCTTCCACCGCCACGCCGAGGGCAGCTTCGACCCCAGCTGCTGCTTCACTATTTACCATGGGAACCACCTGGAGACCCTGGACCTGATCACGTCCAACCCCGAGGAGGCTCGCACCTGGATCACGGGGCTCAAGTACCTCCTGGCCGGGATCAGCGACGAGGACTCGCTCGCCAAGCGCCAGAGAACGCACGACCAGTATCCTTTGAGGAGCCAGGCCTTCCTCCTGGTTCATATTCCTGCCTTGCTTTTCACTCACTTCGGCACAGGGTGTCCTTTCTCCTCCTATTGAGTGACCAAAACCCTTCCTCTGATTGCAACGGAAACCTGAGCAATGGGTTTGACATGGACACTTAGGTGTGTGATAAACCATGGGCTGTGCCTTGGGGACTGGATCAAACTGCATGGGAGTCAGGGGATAGGCTTGCATTTTGTTAATGAATTCCTTTCTGAAGGGACAGATCAGTTATTTCTAGTTATCTCAATATCTCAGGAACTCCTGGCCATCTCTCTTGCTGTTCTGTAAGTCAGGTGTCCTTCCCAGCCTCCACTGTTTGTCAGGAGCACAAATCCCTAAAACTCCTTAAATGTTTGCTGTAGCTCACTAGCCAAAGTGAACCTCATGTCCTCTGAATATTTTCTTCATGTGCCTTTTTTTTCACAACAGTTTTCTTCACAACAGTGATGACTAAAATGTTATACACAAAGAACACTCTTACAAACCTCAAGGCCATCTTAATTAAAATTGTAACCTGACTGTTCTTCTGCCTCATGGAAATCTCCAGTGGTACTCCTGGAGAATATACATATTTCAGGTATTTTTAATTTATATCTCCTGTGTTGGATTCTGATCCACAGCAGGCACAGGCCCATTGGGGTTGTATTGCATGCTCTGTTGCACCTGTCCCCAGCTTGCTGTATTTAACCATTACTTTTCTGACCTGCTCCTGTCTGCTGTATCCTCTTCTGGTGAAACATCACTGCAAGTCCTGTTTGTTTTATCCAGTGTGGCAGCTGGGACACTGCACACAGAGTGGCCCTGTCCCACTCCCAGCTTCTGCAGGAACTAAGCAGGAGGTGCTGGGGGATATTTGAGCAAGGAGTGGGTGAAAGGTGCTGGTTGGGAAGTGAAGTTCAGGTAAATGAAGGGACAAGTGGAAGAAGATCCCAGAGTAAGGCCAGCAATGTTTGAAAGCTTTAGAACATGTTCTCAGAGGAGGAACCAGCATCAGAAATGGGAGTGCGGAGGGGTTGGTGTTGTGAGCTGAGCTGTGAATAATTGCTATAAACCAGTTCTGGTTCTAAGCATTTGACTGAGCTGTAGTAAGGGCAGGGGCAAAAAGGACTCTTTCCTGAGCTGCCCCTGCCTCCCTTCTCCATGAGGAGATCCCCTGTGTGCCTGTCCTTGACACGCTGGCAGCTGGGTGAAGCAGACCTTCGAGGAGGCTGACAAGAACGGGGACGGGCTGCTGAACATCGAGGAGATCCACCAGCTGATGCACAAGCTGAACGTGAGCCTGCCCCGCAGGAAGGTCCGGCAGATGTTCCAGGTCCGTGCCTGGGGGAGGAGGGGGCAGTTAAAGTCCTTTTCTGGGCAGATCCAGAGCAGAATCTGCAGCTTGGGACTAAAAATCCCAGCACCTCACAGGCTTTTTCAAAGTCTTACCTTTTTGTAGACAAAGAGGCACCAGAACATTGTTTAAATGACATGAAGCACACAGAAAAGTTACTGGTGGTTCTGCTGCATTGTTGGTTTCAGCTCTGTGAACTGAATTGTTCAATCCTGGTATTGATGGATAATGAAGTTACTCTGACTTGCTACTGAAATATTTTTTCATTTCCTTTATGGAAAATTATTTAATAGATACTGGCTGTATGCAAGTAATTAGGTTTTTTTTTTAACAGCTTCCTCATATTTAGCCATTCAGATTTGATTGATTTGGAATCAATTTTTTTACTTCTGTTGTCTGAAAACAGCTCCCATTTTCCACCAGTTCTTATGTTTACTGTAGGAAAGGACAGAGAAGCCAAGGACATAATGGAGAGCAAAAAAAGTAATCTTCACTCTTCTAAAACAGTACCAGCTCAAAGCTGGTTTGGTATAAAACATAGGAAAGTTGAAGAATTTTCTATGGTCAAAAGTGCTTTGTTTGTTTGGCATAAAGTCCCCATTAGAGATACATCTTTGGAGTCTGGAGTTACTCCCAAAGACCTGGAAACTGGTGGGGTGGTGTTGCAGAGATTAATTTGGGTTGTACTTGTTCCCACAGATTATAAATGTCATTTAAGGCATATAACAGATATAAAATGATTAAAAATCCCGTTCAACACCAGCTAGCTGAGAATTCTATTGCTGTGATAGGAGTTTGCAGTCCTGTTTTGCATGGAGACCCACACCAGAATATATTCTTTGTTTGGAAAATCCAAAGCAATCCTCTTAGGCAGATGTTCACAGAAAAAAGCTTGTATTAGTGTGTGCTAAGTACTGTTTTCTTCCCTTCCTACCTCTGAGGAGAAACAGCAAATCAAGACTGGAGAAGCTGGGTGTTATGTTCTGGTGTGGAGTCTCAGTGCTGCTGCAGAACTGTCCCCTCTGCAGAGTGCTGCAGATTAAATAATGTGCATTTACCACTCTGATACTGTCCTGAATGATTTAAGATACCAGACTGTTGTTGGGGAAGCCCTGGGTGATATTATTATGCTGTGTTTTCCTGCAGGATAACTGCAGGGCATGCAGGAGGGCAAGAGATCAGAAAAAAGACCAGGGTGTGAGCATCTTTATTTCTGGGGGAAATAAGTTTGAAATTAGAGAAGGAAATTAGAGTTTCACAGGGAATTTGTGGCTTTAGTTTAGTAACTGTTTTCACCAAAAACCCCAGAGATGATGATGTAGTTTTGCTGTCATTTTAGCCTGTCAGAATTTGTGTCTGAGCAATCTTGCAGACTAGAATTGACTACATTTCTGCTGGAGTACACAAGTCCTGCTCTGTTTTATTCCCTGATTTCTCCTGTGCTGAGCATGTTTACCTGAGTGTTGTTACCTCTTAGGAGGCAGACACAGATGAGAACCAAGGAACCCTGAACTTTGAAGAGTTCTCAGTGTTTTACAAGATGATGTCCTTGCGTCGAGATCTCTACCTGCTGCTCCTAAGCTACAGTGACAAGAAGGATCATCTCACAGCTGAAGAGCTGGCTCAGTTTCTGAGGGTGGAACAGAAGGTATGGCAATATCTGCACCCATGTCTGTGGCCATGTACTTACATTCAAGTGCAGGGAAAGGATTTTACAGAAAATATTAACCTGGGGCAGAGGACAAAGCACAGATGTGACAGAAGAGAGTTCTGAAGGTTTTATTGGTTTTTGAAGTGCTTCTAGAAAGAGTTTGAGCTGCTTTGGATGATGTTTGAAGTGGCCAGGATGGAGGTGTGAGGGGGTGCTCAGGGACCTGGAGCCAGACGAGGAACACGTGGCAGAGGTGGGGGAGCTGCCCTTGGGGGTGCACAAGGACATTATGGACCTGCTGATGCAGCAGGAACCTCGAGCTGACTGTCAGGTCTGGCATTCTGCATCCTCTTTGTGCTGTGTGCCCTCCTGAGAGCTCTGCGTGGGCAGAGCTGTCTGGGGAACTGCTCTGCTCAGCATTGCTCCAGCAGCAAACCATGAAGAGTGAAAGCAGGAGCTCCTGGAGGTTCACCTGGAGGTTCACCTCTTGCCTGGGCAGGCTGGAGGCACCTGGCACTCCTGTGCCCCTCTGCAGTGCCCAGCAGCTCAGGGAGATTCCCCTGAGTGTTTCCAGTGCCAGCAGCGCCCTGGGGCAGGGCAGCACTGCCCCAAAAGCTGCTCGTGCTCCCAGCCAGGAAGCAGCTCCCCAGTGCCCTCACCCAAACAGCATTTTGGTTTTGCCGTTTGGAAAATCTGTGGACAGTCTGTTCTGCTCCATCTGCTACTCATTTGGCAAGATGTTAAATATTCTGCAGCCCGAGGACAGAACAAAAGCGGGTTGGGGTTTTTGTTAGCTTGCTAAACTGGCTTCTTTTTTTGGAAAGCTCCCTGTTTAGGAGAACACCCCATATTATTTTTAGTGGAGTACTTTAAAATGTAACAAAAAAATGAATGGCCACAGTCATCACCTCTCAAGCTGCAATTAAAAAAGCACAAATGAGTGGGCTTTTCCCCAGCAGATGTAGCTGTGGACTAGATTAGACATTTCCATTCCTAGAGCACATGAGAACCCTACACTGGGCCAGCAAGGAGCCATGGGGGATAATGAAAAAGTTAATTTGAGCCAGCTTGTACCAGAACAGGGCCTGCTCTGAGCAGCGTTTGCAGTCAAACACCACCCTGAGCAAGGATAATCAGTTACATTTTTCTACTGCATTGTTCTTTTTCTGTTCTCCTGTGTCGTTCCTGCAGCATCTTAGGATGGCTGGCTTAGTACAAACAGTGAACAGGATGATGGCACAAGTGAAGTGCCAGAGGTTTGACTGCCAGAATTGTCTTCCTGTGATGTTGGTAGTGGAGAAATGAAATCCACCCAGTCCTTGTTCTCCCTTTGGTTCTCTACAACTCAAGGCAGTGAGGAAGGATGAGATGAGTGGTGGGAGCTACTTCTTTCCTTCAGTTCTGAAGGAAATAGAGGTGTCTATTTGTAAGTGCCCTACAAATCAGTTAGAACCTCAGCTGTGGGCTAGCTGAAGCTGTTGACAAAATTCCTATTTGTTTCAGAAAAACTGCTGTTTTTCATTTCAGAATTTAATTATTTCTCTCCTAGCCTGTGTATTACAGTGAACTCCCTTGGAAGTAATGAAATCATAGGAGTGGAAAACACATGAAAATGAAATCCAAGCCTGCCAAGTCTTTTTGCATGTCTAAGAAGATTATATTAAAGAATATAATGTCATAGCTCTCATTTCAGCACTATTGGCCAGTACAGCTATTAAGGCTGCTAAACAACTAATTTTAATCTTGAGACTAAAATGACTAAAATGAGACTAGGTTTTAATTGATGGCAACCTCTCACTCCTATTTGTCTCCTCCAAGTGGATTTTCACATGTTGGTGACATTAAAAATAAGTGTACCTCCACTGTTGTTTCTGTGCAGATGAATAATGTGACACCAGAATATTGTCTGGACATCATACAGAAGTTTGAAGTGTCAGAAGAAAACAAGAAGCAAAATGTTCTTGGGATTGAAGGTAAAAGTTTTGATTTCAGCATGAGTTTTGTTTTGCTGTACTGCAGTGGAGTAGAAGTGCTTTGATGTGTTTTGGGGAGGTTTTTGCTATTTGCCTGTGGCACCAAGTCCCCTGGATCAGCGGTCGGGAGCGTGGGTGCATTTTGTGAGCCAGGGGGGAGATGAGAGTAGGTGTGGTGAGGCAGCAGCTCTCCAGCCATCCATCACAGCCATCCTCAGGAGTGGGGATGGATGCCTGAGGCTGTGGGGATTTATTGCTCACTCTGTGTTTGTAAGACAAACACAAACTGTACCATGCAGTTTATCTATAGCCTGTTCCCAGAGAGGTACTGAAAGCTGAGTGTTCATTCTGCCTTGGCTCTGGGATCTGGGATCCTGCACAATCCATTCATTTATGCTTCTGTGAAATAAAGTACAGATAGCTGCATTTTCATCGGGTTTTAATACCTGACTCACATTGTTTTTGAAAGTAATTGTAAATTGTATGTTTATTCAGAATGCAACTTATCCAAATCAGCCTCAGAACTGGGATGAAATAGATTAAATGCCATGGTGTGTTCCTTTGCCCAGAAGGAAGCTTCTGTGGAGCAGCATAATGTACATGGTGATTTGGGGAGGGGGGAAGGAGGAATCCTCCTCCACGTGGTATTTAAATCCTGGCTATGGCCTCCCTTCAACAAGCTCCTGATGTGACCCAGGGCACTGCACTCAAACTGAAATAAGGAAAGGAAAACAAACAAGCTGTGACACTTAATATTCTTGCAAGCATTTCTGCTCCTCTTAACCTGCTGCTGCAGCTCCTTTTATCTCTGAGCTGCTTTCAGGGCTGGTATTGTTTGCACTGTCCTTTGCAAATATTTTACATTGTTTCATTCTTAAAGGAGGTATTTTTAAAACTTTCTCTGTTCAGTGCTACTCTCATTTAGAGGGTTATAAATCAAGTACCATCTTCTCGAATAAACCTGCAGAAAAAAAGAAAGTAGTGAAGGTGGCTGGGTCAGTGAGTTGCCTGCTGATCCACGGTTCTGCTTTGGGTGCGCTCCATCCGTGCTCAGGGCGCTGCTGTTCCCAGCACGGGAGCGCCAGCAAGGAACTCTGCTCAAAAAAGGGCATTTGCTCCTGAGCCAGCACAGCCTCTGCCGTGCCCCAGGGTATGTGCCCACCGGCCAGCGCTCCTGAGCCAGTGTGGCCTCTGCCGTGCCCCGGCTCTGTGCCCCCTGTCCAGCGCTCCTGAGCCAGCTCTGCCATGCCCCAGGGTCTGTGCCCCCTGTCCAGCGCTCCTGAGCCAGCTCTGCCATGGTATGTGCCCACCGGCCAGCGCTCCTGAGCCAGCGTGCCCTCTGCCGTGCCCCGGGGTCTGTGCCCACCGGCCAGTGCTTCTGAGCCAGCTCTGCCATGCCCCGGGCTCTGTGCCCCCTGTCCAGCGCTCCTGAGCCAGCTCTGCCATGCCCCAGGGTCTGTGCCCCCTGTCCAGCGCTCCTGAGCCAGCACAGCCTCTGCCGTGCCCCGGGGTCTGTGCCCCCTGTCCAGCGCTCCTGAGCCAGCTCTGCCATGCCCCCGGGGTCTGTGCCCCCTGTCCAGCGCTCCTGAGCCAGCTCTGCCATGCCCCGGGCTCTNCCCCCGGCTCTGTGCCCCCTGTCCAGCGCTCAGCTTCGGGAGGAGCTCACAGCGTTGTGCCCGTGGCTGACCGTCCCTCTGTCCCCAGGCTTCACCAGCTTCATGCGCAGCGCGGCGTGCGAGGTGTCCAACCCCCTGCACCGCCAGGTGCACCAGGACATGGAGCAGCCCCTGTGCCACTACTTCATCGCCTCGTCCCACAACACCTACCTGAGCGGGGACCAGCTGCTCTCGCAGTCGCGGGCCGAGATGTACGCACGGGTGCTGCAGGCCGGCTGCCGCTGCGTCGAAGGTGGGCTGCATGGGGCTGCATGGGGCTGCACGGGGCTGTACGGAGCTGCATTGGGCTTCACTGGGCTGCATGGGGCTGTATGGGGCTGTATGGGGCTGCATGGGGCTGTATGGGGCTGCATGGGGCTGCATTTGGGCTGTATGGGGCTGCATGGGGCTGCATTGGGGCTGCATTGGGGCCACACAGGGCTGCACCGGGCACAGCATCACCACTCCCAGCAGCGATGCTCTGCTGGCTCAGGCACTGCAGCACCTTCTGACCATTCCAAACTGGATTTTTCTGTTGGGAATGATCACCTCGGGCCAGCGCCACAGGCACCAGAGAATCACAGGATGGCTGGCGTTGGAAGGGGTTCTAAAGATCATCCAGTTCCAGCCCCCTGCCGTGGGGGATCGTGGAGATCACACTGGGCTCTTGTTTAAGCTCTGCATGATTTAAATAATACAAAATAGTAGTGGTTTTATATTAGTATTAGTATTTTTCTTTTCCAGAAATAATAAAGTCCTTTACCAAAGCTAGACTCAATATTAATTTTTTATGACTAGCATTACAAAAGGTCATCTGGAAAAAAAAATATTGTTAATCTCTATTTAAAAATTAATTAGAGAAAATGAACCTGAGAAAACTGGGTGATTGCCTTCTGCAGAACAGCCCCCGAGAACACTCCGCACTGTTATTTTGCTTGACCTCAAAGCTATTGCAGCTACTTCAGAGCCCAGGGAACAGCTCCGCAGCTTTCTTCTTGGGAAGTTTAACTGCCTGTAGAGGCAGCAGCAGTGACAAGTTTGGTACAAATTCAGGGTACAGGCATTCATTAGGAAAAGCATTCTTATGTCAGTCCATTCTCCATGTGCTGGATTGGCTGCTACTCTTCATACAGTCAGTTATAAAGCTGCAAGTTACACTGGGAGTGGGAAAAGAAATTCTTTTAAAATAGTTTCTCTTCAGAAGCAAAACCTGTTTTTCCAAGGTAGCTGTAAACATAATTTGACCTATTACACCGTTGTAGTTTTATTTATGAGGATAAAATCCTCAAATTCCCTTTTACAAGGGAAAAAAAGCAGTTCTAGGATGCTCTAGATTCTCATCTGACCCAGGAAAAGGCTGTCCTGTTAGTCTGAGCTCAGCTGGCAGGTTGGAGGAGATGGAATGAGAGGTGGAGTGAACCTTGTTGGCCCTGCAGGGTTGGGCAGGTGAGCTCTGCTGGCAGCAGGAGCACAGGAATGGATGAGACTGGGGGCATCTCTTAATGTGTGGCTTTTCTGGTCTTAACAGTGGATTGCTGGGATGGCCCAGATGGGGAGCCAGTGGTACACCATGGCTACACCCTGACTTCCAAAATCCTCTTCCGAGAAGTGGCAGAAACCATCAATAAATACGCCTTCATCAAAAACGAGTAAGTGTGGAGCCAGGTTTGAAGCTACACCTGTTTTCTGTAGTCAATCCCTCATTCAAAACAGCATCAAGCCAAGGAAGTGCAAATATTCCTTTAAACACATCAGGGTTGATTCTGTTCCCCTGTTTATTGCCCATGTTGTGTTTATTGTTCAGCTGCATAAGTTTTTCCCATCAACTGAGGGAGAGAGTTCTGCCTAAATTGAACCTTTTGTGCTCTTAAATTCAGTAAGGCTCTGGACAGTCTGACACTGCTGATTATCTTCCAATAGAACTTCCCACTCACATCCACAGGGAGATTCTCCTGAAAAATCAATACTGTGATGTTCTCTACCTACTGGAAACACTTCATATCAGCAGGAAAATTGAAAAGCTGTCATGTGTAGTGTGAGGAAATACTGAGGTGTGGGATAGCGTTCTGAATCTGTTTGATTTGCCATGGTGCTTTATAACAGTTTATTATGAAAGCTGTGGACTCTAACCATATATATATATATATATATTTATACACACACACACTCAGAGTAGTCTCAAATCATGAGTGGGTGTAGAGAATTTTGAGTAGTTTAAAGAGAATAAAAGGAAAATACAAAATGTATTTTTTTTTTATTACAAAAAAAAAAACAACACACAACAATGGATGTGTGGGGAAAAAAAACAACCAAGCCCAAAAGTTTGTTGTTATTGATGAGAAATACAACGTGATACTTTCAATACTAAAAGAGGTGTTTTTCATTATTTGATGTGGGGTTCCTTGTCATGGAACTCTGGGGCTGCCAGGAGTTTAGGAAAGAGTGGGGTGGTTTTGTGGAAGAGCTTGGCTGTTCCATTCACAGGTGGAAAGGTAAGAGTGCAGGTGTTGTCTCTCCACACACAGCTGTGACAGTGTCTGGGGCTTTGCTTCCAGGTTTCCAGTGATACTGTCCATTGAAAACCACTGCAGTATTCAACAGCAAAAGAAGATTGCCCAATACCTGAAGGAGATATTTGGTGACAAACTGGACTTGTCATCTGTGAGCACTGGAGATCCCAGACAGCTTCCCAGCCCTCAGGATTTAAAAGGGAAAATCTTAGTGAAGGTAACTTGCTGCTGGGCATGTTCAGAATGCAGTGAAAGTCAGCTTGTGATATTGTAGATTTTCTTTGGAGGACCAGTTCATATCCCTTCAGCATCTAAACATTATTTGACAGTCCTTCCTTGGACAAAGTACTTTGTAGTGATAAAAAAGTGAAGACTTCCTGCCCTTCCCCTCCCTCAGCTTGGAACTGTAGTTGATGGGATGGAACTCTGTTCATGCTTCATCTGCCATGTTCGTGGGAGAAGAGCAGCTCAGGAGGAGCTGGAGGAGGCCCTGGAGCCCAGGAGTTGGTGCTCTGTGCAGGATTAATTGTGTGAGCCTCTCCAAATGGATTTGCTCTGAAAGGAATTCCAAAGGCCAGGATGGATAGAACAAGGAAGAAGCATAAGGCAGACCTTTGGGAGGATGATAAATAGAGTTCTGCCCTATTAGATTTTCTAATTACTTGGACACAGGGGGGCAATTACTTGTGTGTGAACTCTCAGGATACTCTGGCTTTCCCTCTGTCCTTGGTGTCAGTGTGGCTGCAGGGATTCCCAGTTTCAGTCTGATGTTAGTTTGAAGATGCTGCAGTGCACAGTACAGAGCTGACCCTAAAGCAGGAGCCCTTTGAGTGCTCAGCCATGATTTTGCATTTCACTGCAGCAGTTTCCTGGGGTGGCTGCTGGTTAATGAACTGTGCAAACATGTGGGGCTGGTGTTTGGGGGATCCACAGGAAATGGAGTGCAACATCACTCCTGTGTGAAATCCCACGGCGCTGCACTAAAGGCAGGAGAGGCTGGGTGCTCTGGGTTCCTACCTCAGCTTCTGAGCTGGCTTTTCAGCACATCTGAGGTTGTAATTTCAGTGATCCTCCAGCTCTCACTGCTGAAGCCCTGTGGGTACAGACTGCTGTGGAGCTGAGCTGTTTTCAGAATGAGAAATTCTATCTCCATCATCACAGGATCTCTGTACAAAGCCCTGTCTCCCATCCCCTGCTCAATTTAAGCAGCTCTATTGGAAAAGATAAAATCAGGTTTAGGAAGCAGTACCTTGTTGAGAAGTAAGCCAGCTTCTCATCTTTTTGCTTTTGTTTTTGCTCTTTTTGTACATTTTCCTTTGAAAGGCAGTATTGATTCACTAGCCACAATTTCAAATAACGGCATAATTTCCATCCTGTGAGAGTATATAAAGAGTCATTCTAATAACACTCAGACTTGAGCCAGTGTAAAGGTACCAGCAATGACCCACTCATTAGCAGCAGCCTTATTAATTTCAAAATGCAGCCAAAAAATCAATCCTCTGCATTTCTCCAGAAGTCTGAGTGTCATTCCTGTCTCCCACTGATGAAGCAGCTAGGCTGAGAACACTTCTGTGCACAGAAGCAATATCACAAAGGGTTGGTAGGTGATTTATTTAGAAGCAGATGGTAAAGCAAGAGGAGCAGACTGAGTGCACTAATTAAACACTGACCACATTTATTTGGGTTTTTTTCTCCTCATTTTAGGGTAAGAAGTTGCCCTGCAGCCTTGGAGCAGATGCTGAGGAAGGAGAAGTTTCAGAAGAGGACAGTGCTGATGAAATCGAGGATGACTGCAAGTTAAAGCCCTGCTTTGTATGTGCACACAGTCAGTTCCCAGAGTGTGACAGCTCTGCATTTCTTACGTGCACACCCCATGCCCTATTTACAGTTGTTAGCAGAGTTTTTCATTCCTAAGTTTTTCACTCCTGTGTCAGGTTCATGCTGTTCTATAGGATTTGTTTTTATTTTAAGTGCCTTATGTAAGAGACTGGTTTGAGTCTGTATAGTCTGGATGACTGTTAAAAAAAGGAATCGCTTCCTTTTTAACTGTTTGGAGCAGGAATGTAATGCCTAGGGTGTCTGTAAGTGCATTAGCTGGGAATTCATGCTCTTCTGAAAGACAAGGTGGGGCTTGTGACAGCTGTGAGGCAGAGAGCCCATGGCCAGGTCCTGGGGGATGTGCGGGGGGACTGTGAGCTGAGCTGGGAGGGGAAAAGGAGAAGGGAAATGGCAGTGAAAGCCACAAGCAGAAAGGGCAGAATCAGGCAGGATTATGCAAGGAGTGTTTTCTTGCAGAGGGAAGGAAATGGGAGCACTGTGTGACCCTCAGAGTATACTGGGATGGACATGAGCACCTACTTGAACTGGCTTTCCTGGTGTCTTTCAGAGCAATGGTGCAACTCAGCACCAGGTGGAATCCTTCATACGAACAAAACTGGAATCTCTGCTAAAAGAATCCCAAATCAGGGACAAAGAGGATCCTGACAGCTTCACTGTGAGAGCCCTGCTGAAGGCAACTCACCAGAGTTTCAATGTGAACCTCAAGCAGGTAGGTGGGCTCTCCCTTGACAGCCCCTGTGAGGCCTGGACAGTGCAGACTGTTTCAGGTGAGAGAGCCAGGAGCAAACTCTAGGGACATTAAATACAGAGTGAATTTTCTGTGGAGATGTGCCTGCTCTGGAACCAGTGTCACAGAGCTCTTTTCTGGGAATTATTGGTAATTGATGGACCAGAAAGGGAGCAGTTTGGATGTATTCCAGCTTTTTTTACTGGTCATTTATTTTCCTTCATTACTGATCTGCATTTGATTTTTCCCAAATAATTGCCATGAAAAGAAATAAAAATCTGCTAAAGATTCTTTCTACATGTTGCAGAGACTTCCAGCATGGGCTCTGAAATCCCTGAACACAGGTTATTGATTTTGCTGGGCCCCCAGTGCCTTCATCGTCATGAAAGCCCAAAGTGGCTCCAGCTCAGCACTGAACAGGGAATAACTGGAGCTCACAGCTCTGAAATACTCACCCAGCTGAAATGCTGGGGGAATATTCTTCAGTTTTGTTTTGCTCTTCAGAAGATGAAGGGCTGTGTGTTCCTGACAGAAGAAGCGAGATGCTGCCAGGAGTTATCCAGCTGATGTCTGGGGGCATGGCTGGGAATGTGGAACTCAGCCCGCAGGCTGCCTATGAGAAGTCCACATTTATCTGCTAGGAGATTCTTTTTCCTCTCCCCTTTCCCTTTGTGGCTGCTTTCAAAAACACTCAGACGTCTTGGTTTGTTGTTTCTTGCCTGGTTTTGCTAGACTGCTTTTTCTACATGGTTTCTTGTTGTCTTGAGTACTAATGTTAATATTTTTCTTTACAGTCAGAGGGTTCTAAACTATCAAATATACAAAGAAATTAGGAAAGCCCTGTAATGAGATTTTGGATTTCAATTTTTTCACAGATCAGACTTTAACTCACTTTGTCTCTTTTGTAATAATTTTACTTTCCTAATAGTGAGCCAGAGTGACATACAAGAACTTGTATGAGGTTGAAATGCTGCCTTTTGGAGACTGTAGCAGATTCTTTAAAGACATTTCTGGAGATATTTATTTGCACTTTTTCTTGCACTTTTTCTGCACAGAACCTGGACACAAAAGAAGGTGGAAAAAAGTCTCATGGTCGATCATTAATGGGCAACTTTGGTAAACACAAGGTGAGTGAAATAAATGAGAGGTTGCTGTTCTAGGTCTGGCAGCATTCCAGAGACTCTGGCAATGTTTTACTGCTCCAGACAAGCGTGGTGGGCATGGGGGCAGTGAGGAGGGAGCCTGTGCATTTACACTTGTCTTAATTCTGTTCAGAAGACTGAGAACCTTTAAGATGAACCAAAACTTCACATGTGGCTAAAAGATCATCTTCACTCATGCTGTGGAATTGCTGATGCTCTGATCAAACTTGCAGCAGCAGAAGATCAGCACAGACAAATGTCTTGGCATATCTTGTTTGCCACAGAGCTGAAGGTGCCTGGGTCAGTCAGGGCCCAGTTTTGCTGTGCCCCACCATGGGCAGGGCTGTGCTGGGACTGTCCCTGCTCCCAGGGGCTGCTGTGGCCGAGCGCTGGCTCTGGGCTCCTGCTCTGTGCAGATGTGTTGTGGCTGATCTCCTCCTGGTTTCCATGTCCTGGTTATGTTTGTGCAGCTGCTGGGTGAGAGTGCCTGCTCTGCTGCTCCTCAGTGGTGTCAGTGCTGGCCCAGGCAGGAGCTGGGAGCTCTCATTTCACAGCTGGGCACAGAGCAGCCCCCACAAGGGACAGTGCCCACGTTTCCTCCCATTCCCATATCCCAGCAGATGTTCTCCTGTCATCTGCCTCCCCTCTTCCCACACTCCCACACTGCCCTGAGCCCTGGATTTACAGCCTCAAGCTGAGCTGCTCCAGCTGCCAGCTTCCTTCCTGCTGGGGTCAGGGGGAGCTGCAGTGGGTGGTGAGGCAGGTCTGCACTTCATCCCAGTCCCTGAGCCTCAGCCTGCCAGACTCTGCTGTTCCTGCTCTGTGCTAGCCATGGTGAGGGCTGCACCGAGCTTTGACTGATAATCTGAGCAGTTTTTTATGATTGAGACATTTCAAAGAACTTAATCAGCCAGCAGTCCATCTGCCCTGAAGCCAACTAGGAGCCATCAAAAATCCCTTAAGCAGACAGCACCAGGATTCATATTTACACTTCAGTTGCAAGCTTGCATCAGTTTGAAGTGCTCGTGCTTCCTTTAGCTCAGTGCATGTCACCCCTCAGGCTGTGTTAAGAGCTCCAGGTGCCCTGTGGTCCCTGAGAGTGGGCACCCTGTGCTTGCTGCTGGCCACACAGATGCTGGGAATGAGATGTCACAGGCAAACGTCAGCCACTGGAATCTGCTGGTTATGCTGAGGGCTGGAAAGTCTGTCAATAATTTAATTATTTCAGCTAGTTATCCTAATGGCTGTAGCAGGTTGGAAAGCCCGTTCATTCCATCTCTGATGAAAAAAATAAGGGTATATATAGATTTATTTTTTTTAATAGTAGTTGTATTGTAGACTGAGGCAACAGAGACATCCTGTAACTGCCCCCTGATGCCTTTCCAGCTGAAGGGATGCCTGGGAAGACTGGTTACTATTGATATTTTCACAGATACAGAATTATCCACCCAACAATATTGACACATGATGTTTTCAGCCAGCTCTTGTGCCACATGAATAAACTCTTTAAAAACTACCAGGGGAGGTACAAAGACACTAAAGCTGACAATTCCTGAAAGTTAACTGTATGAAACATGATCAGTGCAGACCTTCAGACTCCAAAGTGAACCATGCAAATGATTTCCAATATAGTCAACTTCATGTCAGCACCAAACACAGCAAACTGAATTATCTACAATACAGTGTATGACAAGAGGAGGAAAGAAATCTGTGCTCAGTGAGCCATATGCAAAAGGATAAGGAGCTCTCAGTTATACTAATTACCTCTTGATGAGAAGGGAATTAAATAACTCTCCCTTGAAGCTGTGTTTAGCATTATATAAGATGTAATGTTGAAATTGGAAACTGTTAAATCATAGGTGCTTATGAAAAAAAGGAGATTCTGAGGTTTTAATCCTTTTTGTCATAGCTATTTTCTTTATAGTATAATAATTTAGGATCACTTGAATATTTGTATGTGGCTCAAAATGGAGCAGGAAGATGGTGTTTGAACATTTTGCCTGGACTCTGTTCACACCTTCACTAATGAATACGTTTAATTTTCTAAACTGGGGGGAAGCACAGGTAGGCAGAAGCAGTGCTCTGTATGTTTAGACCCTGCTGTGTGCTGCTGTTTGTTAAATATGACACAAGCCACTGGGATTTCAGCAGGAGCAGTGCCCTGGAGCCAGGGCAGCAGTGCTGTGCTCCGGTGTTGGGAGGGAGCAGGGCAGGTGCAGAGCACAGAGTGGCCTGTGCTGGACAAACCCTTGGCAGAAACAACGCCCTGAGGCCTGGCAGCACACAGAAATAATGCCCTGAGGCCTGGGAGCACACAGAAATAACGCCCTGAGGCCTGGGAGCACACAGAAATAACACCCTGAGGCCTGGGAGCACACAGAAATAACGCCCTGAGGCCTGGGAGCACACAGAAATAATGCCCTGAGGCCTGGGAGCACACAGAAATAATGCCCTGAGGCCTGGGAGCACACAGAAATAACACCCTGAGGCCTGGGAGCACACAGAGCTCTCATGGCCACAGCCCAGGACCCGTGCCATGGGGTGCAGTGCGCTCTGTGCTTTCCTTCTCCACACAGGGAAACTCTGGCCCAGCCCCAGGGGTCCCTTTTGTCCCTGGAGCTGCAAACCCCAGCTCAGCCTCCTGCCCCACACCAAGCACAGTACCGGGGGTGTCCGGAGCCCCGAGTGACTGACCCTGCTTGGCTCTTTCCCCACAGAAAGCTGCAAAGGCAGCAGCCAAGGCCCACAGTGCCTCGGACGATGAGGATGGCCAGCAGCACCCTCCTGGCAAGGAGCAGCCCCACAGGTGAGCTGGGAACCCTGCAGGTAAAGGCAGGGCTGTTCACTGCCAGCAGCTGGCAGGCTGTGCCTGGAGCAGGGGATGTGTGCTGGTTGCGCCTGGAGCAGGGGATGTGTGCTGGTTGTCCCCAGAGCAGGGGATGTGTGCTGGTTGTCCCCAGAGCAGGGGATGTGTGCTGGTTGTGCCTGGAGCAGGGGATGTGTGCAGGCTGTGCCTGGAGCAGGGGATGTGTGCTGGTTGTCCCCAGAGCAGGGGATGTGTGCTGGTTGTGCCTGGAGCAGGGGATGTGTGCTGGTTGTCCCCAGAGCAGGGGATGTGTGCTGCTGTGTCACACTTCATGTGTCAGCCACACAACACAGCTGTCGGGGTGGGATTGCTGTGACACTGCAGTTTTGGCTGTGTCACCTGTCACAGGCTCAGGCAGCAATTACCCTGGAACTGCAGAGAAGTGTGACAGTCCCACTGCTCATAGAAAGATGCCAGGCCCTATTTCACCCGCTGCAAACAGTGCTCAGAGCAAACTGCAGGTTAAAGAAGGTGCATCACAGCCCAGACAACTTTATTGCATCTGAAAATGGAAAGAAAAAGCAATCAAAAAAGTGCCACTGCGAATGTGTCTGCTGTCACTGAAACACTCCTTGGCTTGTCTAGAACAGCCCTGGTGAAGCTATTCCATCATGTTTCAAATGAAAAATGTTGTGTGTATGGGCTGTGGAGGTAGAGGGGAGCAGTCATCTCAGAACCCTCTCCAAGGAGGTTTCCCACACAGGGTTCCCTGCTCACAGTTCTTCATTTCCTTGTTGAAAAGAACAGGAGTGGGATTTAAAACAGCAGAAAGAGGGATTGAAATGTACCTTCAACACTGCAAGTGCCTGTTTCTGTTTGCTTTAACCCAGCAGGCTTGCCCGCCGCAGGAAGACAGTGAAGCTGTGCCGGGCCCTGTCTGACCTGGTGGTGTACACCAACTCCGTGGCAGCCCAGGACATCGTGGATGATGGTACAGGGCTGGCACAGCCCCTGTCACTCGTGAGAGGAGGGGGCTGAATGCTGCCTTAGGGTGGCACGAGGGCAAAGCCAGAGCCCAGCAGGGCACTCCCTCCCTGGCAGAGACTCCTCTGCCCCTGCTGCCAGCAGAGGATTTCGCTGTAGGCTCCCCAGAGCTGCCACGTCTGGGGTCTGCAGGAGGAAAAGCTCCAGCAGGGGCTCTTAAGCTTGGGCTCTTTAGCTGGAGCTCTTGCTTGGCTTTCCTCTCAAGCCTGCAGACTTGAGGGGAGAACCACAGACCCTCCTGGAAGGGGGAGCTGGTGCCTTTCAGTTACCCAGGGTGCATGATTTGTGTAAGACAAGACAATCTATCCTGTAACACTGGACTAAATCTCATGTTGCCCTTGATTAATAGCCAGGTGATGAGGTCTGGGCTCAGGCCCCATGGCCTAGGATGGTTTGTCACCTGTCTGTTGTTGTACCATGGCACACAGGCTCCACAGGGAACGTGCTGTCGTTCAGTGAGACCAGAGCCCACCAGGCAGTGCAGCAGAAGGCTGAGCAGTTCATGCTTTACAACCAGAGGCAGCTGACCAGGGTCTATCCCTCAGCCTACCGGATCGACTCCAGCAACTTCAACCCCGTTCCTTACTGGAATGTGGGCTGCCAGTTGGGTAGGAGCTGCATGAAAGACTTCCTTCCCTTTCGGTGTGTTTGTGTATAATATTATCATTATTAATGGCACCCCACTGCTCTCTTTCAGTGGCCCTAAACTACCAGTCTGAGGGACGTGTGATGCAGTTAAATGAAGCAAAATTCAGGGTAAATGGCAACTGTGGTTATGTCCTCAAACCTCAGCAGATGTGCAAAGGTAAGCTTCCAGTGTAATTATCACTGTAGCTGCCAGGCCTGTCACAAAGTGTCCTTCACAGCGAAGGCAAAAGAAAGGAAAGTGCAAACAAATATACAATCTTTTTTATTTCCATGCACTCATAGCTCTTAGGCTTGTACCAGTGTGCAGTCTCTTACTGTGATCATATATATGTATATTTTGAAGTATTTGCCTTATTAACATGTGTTTAAAAGGAGAAAAAGGAGTCCTAGGATGACCAGTTGCAGGAAAGTAGAATGAGCTCTGCAGTGGCCCAGGAGCAAGTACTCAGGGCTTGGTCCAGCTCTGCCTTGGAATCACATAAACAAGGGCTGCTCCACTCAGCAAAGGTTGTAAGAAAGAGGAGAATTTTTAAATTACTGAGCAGCTGCTCCATACCCATAATTTCTCATTTCTGACTGAATTTGTCTATCTGTGTGTGTCTTGTGGGGTGATATTTATTATGTTTATCTCTTTCCTTACCCTCTCATTCTTGCCATCTTTCAGGCACATTCAACCCCTACTCTGCTGATCCACTTCCTGCCAGTCCTAAGAAGCAGCTTATCCTGAAGATCATCAGTGGGCAGCAGCTCCCCAAGCCTCCTGACTCAATGCTGGGGGACAGAGGAGAGGTGAGATGCTCTGGTCCCAGCAGATGCTTCCAGGGGAGCTCCTGCAGTGACATGGCAGCATGTCAAACCTTCTCCTTATTCAAATGCACCAGTAAATTTCAGATATTGTCACGCTTTTGGTCAGTAACTACACTTCCCACAGCCTGTATCCTACTTGTCTTGTTTAAGGGCTGATTTATTTTGTATTTTAAAGGGTGACTTTTATAAAAATTAGTCACAGCTGTCCCTAGTTCTCAATGCAAACCATGCATCACCATGGACTTCACAGAACAAATTCCCATGATAGTGTTGCTTGAAAATTCATGTCAGTCAAAGGGGCTTGAATTCTCATATGAATTTACATCAACTCTCTCCATTAATTTTTTTAAAATTCACCTTCATTTGCATGGCTGGCTTGCTTTTAAAATGTTGTGTTTTTAAATAACAGATAATAGATCCCTTTGTTGAGGTGGAGATTATTGGGTTACCTGTTGACTGCTGTAAAGATCAGACCAGGGTGGTGGATGATAATGGTAAGATAATCTAAGTAATTTTTTCTTCTCAGAGTAAAATATTTAATAATAATAATAATAATAAATAATATAGATACTGTTATTAACATTTAATATTAATATATTATAGTAATAATTAATTGCTTTTGTTTTTAAAGCAATCCTAGAGGCAGATATGTCACATTTAATGAATGACATGATGGAATTGTCATTGCTGCTACTGCTTGTGTCCTGTGTCTCTTGGGAAGTGAGGCAAGCACTCGCTGTGGACTTGTTTCCCAAAGTGTGTCCTGTTTGTCCTGCAGGGTTCAATCCTGTGTGGGAGGAGACCCTGACCTTCACCATCCACATGCCCGAAATTGCCCTGGTGCGGTTCCTTGTCTGGGACCACGATCCCATCGGGAGAGACTTTGTGGGGCAGAGAACTGTGGCCTTCAGCAGCCTCGTGCCCGGTGAGTCCCCCTGTTCCCCTGAGCATGGGAACCCACCCTCAAACCCAAGGAGAACGTTACCAGCATGAGAAGAGAGATTTTATAAATGTTTATCTCTGTGACTTCATGGGAAGCTTGGACAGCTCTTCTGTTCCCTTAGGGTGCCTTATGCACCGTTCCTCAAAGGAGTTTGGTTGTCTGTGCTTTTGGAAATAACTGCTGCTGTTAAAATGCAAACTGCTGGTTCTTGGTGGTGCTTTGTGTGGAAATGTTTCTATTTCTGTTTCCCCAGGCTATCGCCACGTGTATTTAGAAGGACTGACAGAAGCTTCCATATTTGTTCATATAATCATTAATGAGACCTATGGAAAGGTAGGTACAGCTGGAAATTTACATCTTCCTTCTGATAAGAATGGATTTAAATGCACCCCAGAACCTCCCAGGATTTGTGTTGGAGCGCCCAGGAGGCTCAGAGCATGTGGGGGTTTCCTTGCAGCAAGGAAACTCCACCATAGCATGACTCCACTCTCGCTGTGCACATACTTGCAGATGTTCTTACTGTTAGCACCCAACAATTATCTTGTCTAGATACAGGAGGTACATTTCTTCAGTGTGCTACACTGATCTTATTTTGGAAGTAGATCTTGAGAACTGTAGCTGCACCAGAACATGATATTTGACAAGCTATTTTTAGCAGCTAATTTAATTAATTTAAATTAACCTAATTTAATTTAAGGTTTTAGTGCATAGGTTTTGCTGTTCTGCAAGTTTGCTAATTTTAGAATGTTTTTAAAGTGAAAGTGAAAGCACGGTGCTTTTTTTGTGTTTTCAGCTGCCTTCCTTAGCTGTTTCCATCTGGAGATAAGCAGCACAAGGAATTAAGGCCATGTTCAGCAGGATGCTAAAGTCAAATAGCATCTTTGCAGTCATTTAAGAAATTAAGATAAACACAAAACCTGACCTTTCTGAGGTTTGAGGTTGCAGAGGACACTCAGCCCTCAGTCTTGGTGCCTTCTGAGAGGATGCAGAGACTGTAATGACAAACATGAACCCAAAGTTGTGCAGCACCCACAGAGAGAACAGGGAACAGAGAACAGCAGAGAGAAGGGCCCAGGACTGAGGTTTGCTCTTGTCCAGATCCTCTCCCAGTTCCTTTCTCCTCCCTGATCCCATCAGACCATGGGATGGGATCACATGTATTGGTATGTGCACACCTGGGCATATCTGTGAGATCACATCCCTTGGGGATGCTTTCCAGGGACCTGTTTGGCTGCTGCCCTTGTAAAAACAAGTAACTGCAGAGGGGAGGCAAGAGGAGCAGGAGGGGCACCCACAGGGATTGGATCTCTGTCCCTGGGTCTGTTCACCTGATGCTGCTCTGAATGACTGATGGGCTGCACTGCTGCTTCTCATAGGCTGAGTCTGTGTCCATGAGTGAGGACATCTGCTCAGTTCCTAAACTAAGAAATAGTTTTAAATGACTTGCTGTAGAGTGGTTCTATTTACAGCTGATGTACTGTTACCTTATTTGCTTGTGTGGAAGTCTTGAAAACATTAGCCAAATGGATTTGCATTTCTTTTTGCCTTTCAGTGGAGCCCTTTAATCCTCAATCCCAGTTACACAATAATGCACTTTCTAGGAGCCACAAAGGTAGAGCTCATGAGCATGCACTTTGCATTTGCTGGGCACAGACTTTCCAGTGATTCCCAGTCGCATGATCTGCAACTGCCAAACTGGAACCATTTTCCATGCAGGCTCTGAAACATCTGAATATTGCTTTGATGAAGCCCATGCATAGAAAACTCCACGTTAATGTGCAGCCTGTCACTGCTGAGCACTTCCTAGAGCCTTGTCAGCTCCCATTAGGAGACTGAGCAAAGCTCTCTGGTAACTGTGGCAGGCTGCCATGCTAATGAGGAGAAGGGCAGGCATGCATGAATCCATGGAGACCTGTGCTGGGAGCTCCTTGCTCAGAGTAGCTGTGAGTGGCTTGGTGTGAATTTTTGTTTTGCTGCGTTTTGAACTTTGTTGTCATCGCTCATAAGCACTGTGAGAGCAGCTCTTTGCCTTGTGAGTGAGTGTGAGCTCAGGCCAGGCTGTGGTGTTGCTGTCCCTGCAGAGCAAGCAGCTGATCGGGCTCCGAGGGCTGTTCTCCAAGGCGCCCAAGGCGGGCACTGCCGAGGCCGGCGGGCAGCACGTGCGGAAACGCTCCATCGGCGAGCGCATCCTGCGGCGCACGGCCAGCGCCCCGGCCAAGGGCAGGAAGAAGAGCAAGATGGGCTTCCTGGAGGCTGCTGAGATCAAGGACAGCGCCTCTGAGCCAACAGACCTGAAGGACAAGGAAGGGGTGGTCCGGCGGCCAAAGCGGAGCTTGCAGGCACGCCCCGCGTCCATGCCCGTGGACAGATTCCTCATGGTAGAGCTGCCCTGCCCAGCAGAGGACACTGCCCAGGAGGCCAAGGGAGAGGAAAACTCATCTGGTAAGACACTTCCAAAATTACTTTTGGTGAACAGTCAGGGCTGCCCTTGCTTCTTTCAAGAGTACCTGATTTCTAGCAAGCATTAAAACCAGTACCTATTATGTCAAGTTTACTTCTATAGTCCCTGCTTCATTAAATCTCCAAAGGAGTGAGTCACAGAGCTCAGATCTGGCATAGAAAGACAAGAGGATTTGGTGGAGAAAACATCCAATATGTGTTTTTCCAGGAATTCAAACCCTTGCCCTTGTGAATGCTGCTTGCTGGTAGAAGGTCCAAATGAAATCCTTGTACTGTAACACTCTGCAGTAACCACATGTATAAACCACACTGGAGTCCATCTACTCGATGCTTTTGACTCAGCTTGAAGCATGCATCTTGTTTTCAAGTGTTGTCTGTTTTAACAGAGCTGTTTTGTTCTGTCTTTATTGCCACGCTTCTTTATAGTACAAATGTGACTAGGAACACAGCTGAAGGTAATGCCACGTGCAAGCTATGATGTGGTACCTCATTAACATTACCTACCACAAATATTACATCACCTGCTTGATGTAATTGACATTCCAAGGAAATTTCAATGAAGTGCCTGCAGTTGTATTTTTCCATTTTTTCATGTCACTCAGATAATTTGTACTAAACCTGCACAACCCCATGATTAAGTTCTGTCACAACTGTACCTAGTTTTGCGTTCTCCATTTGTCTGTCTAAGGACAAAATAGCTGTTGACAGACAGAGCAGAGTCTTGTATGCCACTAATATGTTTCTCATTTAATTTAGCCAACAGTGATGACAAAACAAATGAGAAGGAAACAAGCTTGAAAGAATTGGCTTTTCCACGTTCGGAGCAAAAGGCAAGTGCTTCAAATTTAGCATCTCAGTTCAAGGAGAATGACCAGAGGGATTCTACAGCTGACTCTTTAGTACCACCTTCACAGGAGCAACCTGAACATTTGGATTTTGCAAATGGTGTAGCTCAAACAAATCACCTCGTGGACTACCAGGAGAATAATCCTTCTGATGGAACTGTCCCCCTAATGCAAGACTCTGACTCTGAACTTCCCACAGAAAAATCACACCACAAAAACTGTGCAGACAGTAAAACAGATGATGACACAAAACTATCTAAGGAAGGGAAAATCAGTCTCATGGAGACTTCTCTTTCTCACAAAGCAGAGGTGGAGAATCACAAATATGACACGAAGAAAAGCACTGCAGCACCTCTTTCCCTTTCTTCTGCCGTGTGCTCTGAGGGCCCTGACTGTCACTCCACGGTGACCCTGCAGGACAGTGACATTTCTCACCTCATTGATGAAGTCTCTCTCTCGACTGAGAGCGAGCTGGACAGCGCTGTGTCCGCTCTCATCGGGCAGCTGGATGGCACAGATGACCAAACTCCCCTTCCCGCTGTCTCCAGCCCCCAGGACAGCAGCAGCCAGAGCCCCAGGGCAGGAGCTGCACTCCCACACGTGTTTGCTGCAGACCTGAGCGGCCCCTGTAGGCACAACTTCACTCCCACAAAATCCAACAAATCCCCTTTATTCTCCACTCCGGACGCAGCCGTGTTCTCCAGTTTGGAGGATGCAGAGTTTTCCACATACACAGTTATCCACGAGGCATCTCCAGCTTCTGAATGTAAAAGCCACAGGGCATTGGTTTGCAAGGAAAAATTAACTAGTCTAGAAAGTGACTTGCCTGGCTCTTGTTCTTCAGCCCTCTCTTTGCTAAATGCAAATCCCAAAAGGAATTGTGCTACAAAATCTGGACCAAGCTGGGAAGCCCCCGAGTCTGCCAGTTCTTTCGGTTCCAACAGCCTCATCTCTGAGGAGGTGCTGGGGGCCCCTGTCCCTGGGGAGCACTCGGCCAGCAGCAGCCTGCTGGAGCTGGATGGGGACTGCCAGGAGCTGCTGGTGACCGCCTGTGAGTACAGACGGGAGGACACGAGCCAGCTGGCTTCTCCTCTGAGCCTGAGGCACAAGCAGGAGCCCGGGCACGGTGCTGACAGCACCTCTGTGAGCAGCTCCACTGCTGCCCAGCGCTGCTCCGAGAGCTCCAGGGCTGCAGGGAGCCCTTTCCCCGCGTGTGAGGGTGCCGGGTTTTTGTGGCAGCAGCGCTCCGGGAAGCACAAGGCTGCAGCGGGCGCTCCCCAGCCCAGCTCAGCCCGCCCCGTGCTCCCGGGGGCTCTGCCGTTCCCCCCTCACCCCGCCATCCAGCACAGCAGCCCCTGCAAGTCCAAGAGTCTGGGAGACCTGACCTCGGAGGACATTTCCTGCAACTTTGAGAGTAAGTATCAGTACATCAGCAGGAGCTTCATCTCCTCGGGCCTGAGGGACAGGAAGGTGGCAGCCATGCAGGGCGTGAGGCCACACTCGACGGACGCGCTGACGGAGCAGCTGCGGAGGCTGCTGTCCCTGGAGCAGGAGGACAGCCGGGAGCCGCTCTGCCCCAGGCAGACGGACGAGGAGTGTCCCCGGGCCCTGGTGAGGAAGCTGTCCTCCCGCAGCCAGAGCCGGGTGCGGAACATCGCCAGCCGCGCCCGGGAGCGGCAGGAGGCGGCGGGCAAGCAGCGGCCCTGCGGCAGCGGCCTGCCCGGAGTGGTGCTGCGGAATAAGGCCCCGGGCCCGCCCGCCGCAAACCGGCACTCCACCGGCTCCTACATCGGCCGATACCTGCACGGCTGCCCCGGGGAGCGCCGCGGGGTGCCCGAGGGAGCCTGCTCCGCCCTGCAGCACGGCTGTGGGGAGCTGCAGCTGCCGCCCGGCGCTCAGGACCAGCCCGAGGTGTATTTCCTGCTCCGGCTCTAGGCAGGAGCTCTCGGCCTGCTGCGCTGCACTGAGGGCTTAGCCAGGAGCTGCCAGGAGCTGCCAGGAGCCGCTCAGTTAGTTCAAAATGCAGTTTCATGCCGGTGTTCAGGGCTGGTTTGCCTGCCAGAGCTGAGGGAAGCGGGAGCCTCCCTGAGGGGTGTGTGACTGTGGGCCGGAGCTGAGGAGCCGGGAGTGTGTTTGTAGCGCTCTGTGTCTAATGCCGTGCTCCAAAGCCTGACATTGCACTGAAGGCAATATTCCTTCCCTTGTGTCTTGTCCTCCTGCTTGGAAAAACACTTTTGGTGATCACTTTTGGCCTTTTGTGAGGATTCTCCAAAGCACTGTGGTGTCTGGAATGCTGGACTGGGGCTTGTTCTGCTCAACAGGCAGCAACCCTTCGTTAGCATCACTTGTTCTGCATTGTTATTATAAATTGTACATGTTTTCATGTATGAACTGTGATTCTACAGCAAACGGTTTGTAGAATTAGGGTTAGTCCAGATTCGTGAGTCCTGTGTAATTTGTCTTCTGCCCTCTACAAAGTATGACAAGAGTTGTCTTCCTTTTTGGTTACTGTGTTGATTTGGGACAGAGTGGAACGTGGGAGTAATTCTGCTTTCATGAATGAAAACAATTTCTGCTTATTTTGTTATGTGTTTTTGCTGTTGGTTGTGTGAGTAGCTTTGGTACAGCAGATCCATTTTCTGTATATTTGTAATTTTATTGCTGAATTGTCGACAGTCAGTGGAATATTTAAACTGACATGGTAGAGTGACTATTTTGACTGTTCACCTTTTTCTATGAAGGCTGAAAGTGAATTGGGTGAAGGAATCTCAGACACCTGAGGCTTCCCTGTAGGGAACAACATAGCTTTATTTTGGTTGGAAGATACTCTTTGCCTTTGTTGTAAGATTTTCTGATATGTCAAAGATGTACCTTTTACCTCTTTCTTTTGTAATGCAGAGTATTATTATTCTTGAAAATGTCATTAAAATAGATTTTTAAGCACTTGGTTACATGTTCTCTGGGAAAAAAAAAAACTTATCCATATAGATTGGTGCTGAATCCAGCAGCAGTTAGTGACTGCACACATCTGTCTTGGCAGGAGGAAGGGAAAGTCCTTCATTTCGCAGGGTGGTTCTTGGCTGGAGGTGGCAGCTGAGCTCTGGTCTCCCTTCTGGACCAGGAGCCACATTTGAGTTTGTCTGACTGTTCCACTGAGGCTCTAACACAGGAGAGTGGCTGTGTTATCACTTGGGAGACAACAGTGGATTTCCTAAACATTCTTTTGATGGAGTAACAGAACCAGACTGGATGAATGCCTTAAGCTTTGGACTTGGATTTCTATTTCATACCCAGGATGCAGTTTGAGAGGTGTGACTGAGACCCAGTAAAAGTGCCTTGTAAGGAAGCAGAGGTGAAGATCTCCATTGTGGGAGAAGAAAAAACTTGCTTTAATTGGAATTAATTTAGAAAAATTGTATAGTGCTTGCAGGAGGTCAGGATAGATTATTGCAGCAGTGTTTTATCACATAATCTTTTATACTCTTACCTTAATTTTAGAAGTTCATCCAGATGGGGACAGTTCTTTGTGTGACAGTGACATTTGGCTAATGGAGCAGGGAAAGGTTTCTGTAGTGCAGCTCAAGCCAAAAACACATCAGCATTTACATACATATATATATATATAATCTTTCTCCAGTTTTTAGTTTAAATGATCAAGCTTCATTTTCTTTCCTGGAGTGGAAGCAATACAAACAAATGTACCTGCTGCCAATCCAGCTGCTCCAGGGTGATGTTCCTGCCATGAAGTGTCCTGGGATACCTGAACCACCCTGCTGGTCCTCCCATGCCCAGGTGCTGTGCTGTTACTGGTGAGTACTGGTGCTGCCAGTCCCGAGCTGGTGTGGGACACTGGGTCAGAAATGTTTGTGTCACTGTGAATTGGTGCTGCCGCAGCGATTTGGGGTCCCAGAAAATCCAACCTGGGGGTGATGTTGCTCTGTGCAGCAGCTCCAAAACTCCATGGGAATGGGGCACTTGGGGGAAACTGCAAATGCCTCCTCCAGCTTTGTGCTCTGGATCATGAACTGAGGGGACACAGTTCAGATATTCAGCACTTCCAGAACTCAGCCTTTAAACTCTGGAAATGTCTGCTGTGTGGATCCCAAGCAGCATTGTACAGAGCCAGGGGTTTTAGACACTTGTGTGGGACAGAGCAGCAAGCTGCAGTTCAGACATCTAGAAGGCCATTCAATTTTAGTCCTCTCCCAAAATTAATTAAACTGTCTGAACAAGGCTGCAGCTTGTTGAAAATCCATCTAGTGAAGACTTTCTTGGTGCAGAATCTGCAGAATAAACAATCACTTCAGCCTCGTAAAGGCTAGTGGCTCACATCCTGGGTTAGCAGGCTTAAATTGCTTTGCTAATTCATGAAAGAAGGCATAAATTAAACTGTTCAAGAATCTACAGAGAACAGATGGGTTTAGAATATTACTTTTGAGAAATTATATATTTTCTAATTCAAGGCCAGGAAGAGTCTGTAGTTACATTTACATGATTGTTTATTGGAATATCAGCTGCCCCTGCTTTAAACAGTTGCACAGAATGTTCCAGGTGTTAGGGAGCCATTCCACATCCCTCACTCCTGGCACAGGAGCCCCTGTTCTGACACTCTGGTAGGAGGGCTTGCATCCTGAGTTTCCCATTTGCATCTTAAATAAGATGAATGTGTGTAAGAGTAAAACATTTCATTTTAAAACAGCCAGATTTTCATCCATGTTGGGTCAATTTTGTTCTGAGGGCTGATGCTCATTTGGATTTGTTTTGATAAGATTTTAATGCCGTTCCTTTTTGCAACAGGGAAAATCATGTGCAGGAGCCTCAGTCACACACGAGACAGTGGCACAGTGATTACACTGATTACAGATCTGCTTAGACATGCAGGAGGAGAAATAAATTGAATTTCTACCAGAGATTATCTTTTAAAGTCCTGTGTTGGTTGAGACAGAATGAAATTAAAATGAGCAGTGCCTAGCTGGCCTACTTGAGGTGGAATTTTGTGTGTGCAGAAAGCCATGGAAGTGGAAACACCTTCTTTTATATACATTAGTGTAGCTTTAGTCTAGCTATGGACCAAGACAGGAGAGTTTGCAGTCTGGGTGAGCTGAGTTAGGCCTTGCCTTGTCTCTGCTCCCAGTGCTGGCCGGGCAGGTGGGCACGGCTGTGTTTGTGTGTAAGGGAGGGATGGAGGCAGGGAGAGCAGCTGGGGCTGCTGCACTGCTTTGTTAGTCCTTGCTTTAGGAACAGTCGGGATTTTAACATCAAGACTGGTCCTTGCCCTGTCACTGCTGCAGTCCAGCAGCCTTTGGAGGGTCTGGCTCCAGCCCGAGGAGCTCGTGCTGCAGGTGGAGCCACGGGGATTTGCTGCTCTGGTTCCATGTGTGTGGAAAGGGATGCTGAAAAGGGAATTTGAGGTTCTCAACAGCCTGAATTTCACTGGTTGCTTGGCTGGGCACAAATAAAAATAAATCCCAATCTTCCTGGGCACATTTAAAAGAAATGTGAACTTCCATGTCAGACTTCATAATGACACAGAAATAGTTCCTTTATATTCAAACCAGTGAGGTCTTTTCCCTCTCATCTCAAACCCCTGTATTCTCTGATCTAATCCCAGCACACAGGGAATGCAGCCATGTACAAAGTGACACCAGGGCTGGGAACTCTGGTGTCTGACAGCCCCAAACTTTGGGTGTGGGGCAGCCCTGTAGCTGTGAGGGAGGGCTGAGACCTTCCTGGAGGAGCCTCCTGGCTGGGCCCCTTGCTCCCCCCGTGCTCCTGGAGAAGCTGGGGTGAGGCACTGCTGCAGCAGCGTGGGGGATTTGCAGAGTCCCTGAGCTCTCTCCTGCCCTGGTCTCAGGCTTGGCTGGGGGGAGACTGCCATTCACCAGTGCAGTCAGGCTGTATTTATCCCATTTCAAGGAGTAATAGACTTAGGGAAGCACATCTTTAAGGGGAACAGATGTCTGGAAGTAGATGATTAATTTGTGCTGAGTTTTCAAGCACTCATTTAACTTACAAGCTCTTTAAAGTGGGTTCTTTAATGTAGTGTTTCACGTCTTAAAACATTTATAGTCAAAATCTTATTTCGGTTAAGGATGTGTGTGTCTAAAGCGATAGTTTTAAATTCAGTGGTTTCTGCAAAGGAACACTGCTGAGAGAACAGAATATGGAGAGTTGCAGAGTGCTGCAGGTCATGTTAATTTGACTCTCTTATTTCTAGGGCTGGTAACATATTTTCAGTAACGTGAAATTTCAGCTGCATCCAAGAGGATGCTCTTGCAGGGCAGAGTTCAGCAGGATGAGGGAACACGACTGAGTGCTACATTTGTGTGCTTTGCACAGTGTGAATCCAGTGTGAATTGTGCAGTTGGTGGAGTTTCCCCAGCTGTGTGCTGGGGTGGGGTCTGTTTCTTGGCTGCTTGTCCAGACTTGGTCCATCTCAAGCTGTTCCAAAGGCACCAGAGATGGAAATTTGGTTTAAAGCATGTGTCAGGTTTCTTGTACTATTTCATACCTGATTTCCAAACAGAGGTGATGCTGAGTAATCAAGATGGTAATTAATATTCTTGTATTTATTTTGTCTTGGGATTATGATGTCAAATATTTAGAATGTGCCTGGCCTTGTAAAGGGTGAGGGTGCATGTGCTGTTTGAATTAATTTAAATAAGCAGTACTGATATTGGCTTGAACCCCACTTTTCTGCTATGGATGCTATCCATGCCCTGGATGGATTTGGCCTCTGGAGGAGCTGCTCCAGGCTCTGGCTACATGCACAGGGTGTGGAAGGGGACTGTCCTTAACTGGGTGTTTGTTAGCTCTCTAAAGCTAATTGAGAGTCAGAGCTGCAGTGTGGAGCTGTGGGAGCACTGGGGCCATGTGGCCCTGGTTGCAGTGGGATCCTTCCCCACCCAAACAGAGAGAAAACTGCAGAGGATTTCATCTTTTAGCATTTCCTGAAGCCAACATGTGCTTTCATGAGGGAAACCAAGATTTACCAATCAGTACAGTTTGTAATTGGAAAGATAAATCCTCAGCAGCTCCTCTGGTCTCTGTTCCAGGCACAGGGCTGAGCCAGCCTTGCAGCAGGAGTGCTGCTGGACTGACAGCAGGAGGGAGGGAAAAGAGCTGATGCACACATGTCCAGGAATTGTCCCTTTGATTTCCTAGCAGAAAAGCCCTTGTTTTGACTGAAAGGAAGTGTTTCTTTAGCCAGTAACTCGGGCTCCTCCATCACCAGGCCAGCAGCTCTGCTCTGCTGTAGGTCTGTGCTGGGAATGGTGCACAGGGATTCAGTCCAGAGCCAGAGGAAATGGTTCCTCTCTCAGGGATGGTTTTGGCAGCACCTCCTGCTGCACATAGTGGAGATGCTGAAAGCTCAGCAGGAGGAATTCATACAGCAAGGCCCTGTGCTGCTCTGATGGGAAGCTTTAAACAAGGGGTAACTCCATGTGTTCTGTGTGAGGGATATAATAATCTAAATCAGACCAAAATTCTGCGTTGTTGGTCATACACATCCCATATATTTTCATTTGTTACCAAGTGAAAGAATTGTGGGGAGTGATGGCAGTCCTACAGTGCTGATTCACCAGTCTTCCCAGGCTCAACAGTCCGGAGGCTGCAGTTGCTGAATGTATTTCTGTTCATTTGTTATGGAAATGATTTTTAGAATTATTCAAACCATTATTGCTTGATTGGTTAAAAACTGGAATGTGATACCTGATTTGGATTTCCCAGTTACTTTTCCCGAGGCATCTCCTCTGCAGAAGGCACAGGAACACAACCCCTCAGAGCTCACAGTCTTCACCCCCCAGCAGAATCCAATGGCAGCCCCCATTTGCTGAGGAAATCATTCCACCAACTGTTCTTTTGCCCAGCAACTTTCCTTCAACCTCTTAGATGGAACAGGATAAACAATAATGGAATGTTGTTAGGGATAGATACTTGTCCCTTGAAGTTTCTCTAGCATTTGTTATTTTTTTCTATTCCATTTCCACTTCTTCCAAGGAAGTTACTCCTACTACACCAGCAGTGATTTTTGGGACAAGTGATCAGGTTAGTTTGTTGATTTAAAAAAAAAAAAAAAGGGTTTAAATTGATACCTTTGTAGAGGCTTTCCTTCCATGGCTTTTCCCAGCCATGCTTTTGTGCCTCCTGTCCATATCACTTTGTGGTGATCCAAGCTGTGGATTTCATTTGATCTGTGCAGGCTGCAACAGATCCTGTTGATGTGGGGCCAGAGAGACAGAATTTGCAGTCCCTCCATAGCAGAACAAACCCTGGCTGCTCTCAGATGGTCAATTATCTTAATTGAGTTCTCTCTATTTATTAACAGATCTTTAGTTCATCTTTCACTCTTACCTTCAGATTTCTCCCCAATCTTTCCCCATGTGTGAGACGAGGTGATTTCTATGCACGGGCTGTGCACGGAACAGATGGATCTGACAGCAATGCCATATTCTCCCACCAAAATTGACAGGATAATAAATGGAGATCTTGTTAAACTTGACTGTGTCACCATCAGTGCTTGTTTGCTAATATTTCACAGCAAGGCAGACTGGCTGACAGGGCTTTGCTGAATGCATTGGCAGCAGCCTTTTCTTAAGCTTAAAGAAATAAAGAAGACGAACAGGGATCTCTGGAGACCATGCCAAGACCAATCCAGCATATGATGGGGAAGCTCAGGGGCTGAGGGACCCCAGGGCTGCCCATCTGACATGGATCTGACCCTCCTGCCAAAGGCTTTTCCATCCTAGCTCCTGAGCTACCCAGAGTTACACACAGAGCTGTTCGGACAGAAACCCTTTGGGTTTCACTTGGCCCCCTGAGCCACACAAACACCTGCGTGGAGCTGGGCACAAGAGCTAAATAGCTGCCAGACAGACACTCATTAATGTTTAATTAATCACTCAGACACTGAGGGTGGATCCAGCTCTGGGGCTTGCACACCCGGGTTCTGTCACTGTCCCGTCTCTGCTGCCAGTGCTGGCAGGGACCCTGAGTGTCTGCAGAACAGATTTGTCACAGCTGTGGTGTCACCCTGCTGCCCTGTGCTCTTTGTGTGTACTTGCATGTCTGAATAACACGCAGCTCCTCCAGACTGAAGTGGATCCTTTGGTTTCCAGGGGACAGGTTAAACCTCAGTGTATTTAATAAACTGATTTGGAAATACTTAGGGATGTCAGGTTGTAAGACTTCATGAAGTCATATATTCTCTGGGGTAGACTTTGTCTGGAATTTTTCTCTATTTCTCATGTGTGAAATTTCTCTATTTCTTTTTTTTTGCTATTCCATGTTATAGTCAAAAAATGGTTTTGATTGTTTTGTCACTGGGCTGCCCTGGTGGCCTCTCCATGTGGCATCCCTGGCATATGTCACTTTTCACTGGTCAATGTCACTTTTCACTGGTGAATTTATTATGTTGTCAAGACTCACTATACCTGTGGATCAGCAGGGATAGTAGGAAAACAAAAATCACCTGCTAAAGCTGACTGCATCTTTAGGAGCCAGAGATGAGTGAGCTCTCCTTGGTGGCACACTGCCCCTCCACCCTGGGGACACTCATCTCTTGCTTATGCTCGCCCCAGGTGTGGGCAGGAGGATCCAGTGAGGGGCTGAGCACATGGCAGCAGAGATGAGCTTTTGGTCAAACCAGGTGTGCAGGGTCAGGCCTTCCCTCCCTTCCATGGCTCCATCACAGCTCCCACTGCTCCAGGAGAGCACTCTGAAATGTTTGGGGATTTGGTTTGGGCTTTGGAGTTTGGTTCTTTGGGGTTTTTTAGTGTGAATCAGAGACTTTGTTCTTTGCCCGTTCATAAATGAAACCAATGCCATCTGTGCTGGAGGAGCTGCAGGGTGGCTTTGCTCTCCTTGCTGTGTGCTCAGCCTTAGAGCAGCTCAGGCTCCAGGGCTGGGT